CTGCATTCTATATATAGACGTGCACGAGAGAGCCTATACTACCTCAAATGGCTTAGCAAGATCCTCTGTTATGCCGAAAATACTGCAGCATTGTTTTTGAAATAAATATATGGTGAAGTTGAGGATTAATGTTAGACGAAAACACAATTCCATAAAATTTTCTCGATAGAAAAAAATCCAAAGTTACCTCCAAACCGAACTATAAACCGCTGGTATTCAAAAATACTTCAAATTAAATCAAGAAACTGTATACTAACTGAATTAACTATAAAGCAGGGCTTATGTTTTTACTTTTTTTAATTATCATTATTTTTACCGTAAAAAGAAATTACCTAAACTATCGTCGTTTTAAAGCGGGCTAAATACGAGATGATATCTGTGGCGATCTAGGGTGGAGTAGTGGGGATGCCTCCTAGATTGCCTCTAAATCGTATCGTATGTAGGGCAATCCTGAGTCGTGGCCGATATCGCCTCCTTAATTGGCTGGCAGGAGCAAAAATGCAGTCGATGCTTCCTAGACCGGGGCCCCGCGCCTTCCGTACTGCGTGTATGTAGACGCATCAGTCCGATTTCTTTTGGCAGTCGCTGCCGGCAGCCCTCGCGGAAGGACGTTAACGAAACAGTGATACTGAATGACCTTTTTAGCCGTCGTCAAAAAAATAGGGTGTAATGACATGTTACACCCTATTTATTTTGTGAACGGAGTAGAAGCCTATGCCACTGATATTTTACAAAAAATTAAAAACAAAAACTTGAATAAATAAATAAATAAATGAAAATCTATCGATCAATCATATCCACCCTAGCCTGTGACCCTGCGAAGTGACATGGTCAAGAATGCCTACTAAACTAATCGTTTTATTGCCGTTCGTAAAGTAGGGTGTATGAAATAAGCAAGGAGAGGATGAAGCCTATCCTCAACAACTAACTCCTATTCCTACACCATCTCCACAAGACCACATTTATATCTCTTACATGCCTTCATCCTCTCATCAACAACTAACTCCTATTCCTACTCCATCTCCACAAGACCACATTTATATCTCTTACGTGCCTTCATCCTCTCATCAACAACTAACTCCTATTCCTACACCATCTCCACAAGACCACATTTATATCTCTTACGTGCCTTCATCCTCTCATCAACAACTAACTCCTATTCCTACACCATCTCCACAAGACCACATTTATATCTCTTACGTGCCTTCATCCTCTCATCAACAACTAATTCCTATTCCTACACCATCTCCACAAGACCACATTTATATCTTACGTGCCTTCATCTTCTCATCAACAACTAATTACTATTCCTACACCATCTCCACAAGACCACATTTATATCTCTTACGTGCCTTCATCCTCTCATCAACAACTAACTCTTATTCCTACACCATCTCCACAAGACCACATTTATATCTCTTACGTGCCTTCATCCTCTCATCAACAACTAACTAATATTCCTACACCATCTCCACAAGACCACATTTATATCTCTTACGTGCCTTCATCCTCTCATCAACAACTAACTCCTATTCCTACACCATCTCCACAAGACCACATTTGTATCTCTTACGTGCCTTCATCCTCTCATCAACAACTAACTCCTATTCCTACACCATCTCCACAAGACCACATTTATATCTCTTACGTGCCTTCAGCCTCTCATCAACAACTAATTCCTACTCCTTCACCATCTCCACAAGACCACATTTATATCTCTTACGTGCCTTCATCCTCTCATCAACAACTAACTCCTATTCCTACACCATCTCCACAAGACCACATTTATATCTCTTACGTGCCTTCATCCTCTCATCAACAACTAACTCTTATTCCTACACCATCTCCACAAGACCACATTTATATCTCTTACGTGCCTTCATCCTCTCATCAACAACTAACTCTAATTCCTACACCATCTCCACAAGACCACATTTATATCTCTTACGTGCCTTCATCCTCTCATCAACAACTAATTCCTATTCCTACACCATCTCCACAAGACCACATTTATATCTCTTACGTGCCTTCATCCTCTCATCAACAACTAACTCCTATTCCTACACCATCTCCACAAGACCACATTTATATCTCTTACGTGCCTTCATCCTCTCATCAACAACTAACTCCTATTCCTACACCATCTCCACAAGACCACATTTATATCTCTTACGTGCCTTCATCCTCTCATTAACAACTAACTAATATTCCTACACCATCTCCACAAGACCACATTTATATATCTTACGTGCCTTCATCCTCTCATCAACAACTAACTCTTATTCCTACACCATCTCCACAAGACCACATTTATATCTCTTACGTGCCTTCATCCTCTCATCACAACTAACCCTATTCCTACACCATCTCCACAAGACCACATTTATATCTCTTACGTGCCTTCATCCTCTCATCAACAACTAATTCCTACTCCTTCACCATCTCCACAGCAACAAACAAGGTATATAGATGGGAGTATGTCCGAAATTAAAGGTTTCTTTTATGTTTAAAAAAAAGATATAAGCTAAGCATAAATAAAGATTACATTGAAAACTAAAATAAAAGTATACATATTATTATACAAAAGTATTTTATTTATTTGTTTGTTGTGTGTAGTACATATCAATAAAAAAATTAGACATGCAACCTCTTTTTCTATTTTCAATTAATAAAAGAGTTCCAAATGGTTTTAAAAGAGTTGGAGGCATTTTGAAGAACTCTATCACATATGCGTTCCAAGTCCGAACGCGCTTTAATATTGTAGTCTTTGGAACGCGCACTGCTAGGCAGGCCCGTGTGTGGAGTCTGCCCCGATAAAAGCCCCGATTTCTTTCCACCCTAGATCGCCACCGATATCATCTCGTATCTAGCCCGCTTAAATTTTGTTCTCTGCCGCCCGACACCGACACGGCCGTTCACTCTTCACTCCTGTGCTTAATTCTCGCTTCGGCATTTGAACGGGAGGCCTGTGTCGCTTGAGCTCAGAACACACATTACGCAACAGGACGATGTAAAATTAAAATATTAAAATAGATACTTAGGTTTATAGTGTTGGCGCAATGGGAAATAAGCGTAATAAAAATAAGAAGCGATTGAGTTGGCGTAAAGAAACAGGCAAACGTTTGATAAACGTAATGAAGTACCTAAGTATCTACCGACCTATCTATTTACAGTATTAGTGATTACAAATATTATGTAGAAATTTAGCGTATGACAGGTTTGGTGCAGTGGCTAAGCAATTGGTTTTTGCGCTATTAGTCACAGGTGTTTCTGTATGTGAAGATTTGTGTTTGTAAATACACCGTTCACGATTCGGGAGAAATCGAGCGTGGGGCAACTTTATGAAAAAAAAGATAAAAAGTTACCTAAATAAGTTTGTTTTCGTTTTGTCAATATTCAAGATAATATAGGTATCTACGTAGTAATTATTTTTTTATAACGTTGCCCCACTCCAGGATTTCTCCTTCATCATCATTACAGCCCTTCACAAGTCCACTGCTGAACATAGGCCTCTCCCAAGGTATGACACAAAGCACGGTCCTGAGCCATCTGCATCCATCGACTTCCTGCATGTCTTACCAGGTCGTCACTCCATCTAGTGGGGGGTCGCCCTGCACTTCGTCTACCGGTACGAGGCTGCCACTCGAGAACCTTATTTCCCCAACGGTTGTCGGTTCTTCGAGCTATATGGCCGGCCCATTGCCACTTCAGCTTACTAATCCGTTGGGCTATGTCGGTCACTCTGGTTCTACTGCGGATATCCTCATTTATAAGTTTATCACGCAGAGAAACTCCGAGCATAGCCCTCTCCATAGCTCGCTAAGCGACTTTTAGCGTCCTCATACGGCCAGCAGTGGAGGACCACGTCTCTGTTCCGTAGGTCATCACTGGCAATTTGGAAAACAAACGGATTCCTCCTGAATAACTATAAATATAATACGCTATTGAAATCAAAAAACATCCTAATTTCAATAGAGAAGATGGCTGGGTGCTACCATCTGCTTGGGATCCTATAATAAATAAAATTAAATCCCAACCCAAGCATACAACCGCAAGACTTCAAGATACCATAAGTTCATACTGTGTAGATCGGAACAAAAGTTAAATTTTAATCTATGGTAACCGCTGTTAACTATGACATCTGGACGTTGAACATCACAGAGTACCTTTATTATATATTATATACTGAAACTGTTGAACATCTCAGTCCTTTCCGTAGGCAAGTATTTATAGTTAAATATACGCGATAAAATCCGTAAAAACTAGTATTAAGTATTTCAAAATATAAGTCTGTTCGGTAAGTACCTACCTATCTATCTATAAAGAAATAAAACTGTAACTTACTTATCCATCCTTACGTTATCGTTAAGGTAGGGAAAAACTGAGCCCACGTACGCAACGTATGCAACGCAACACGGGTGACTTGGTGTGCACACTTATCCCACGTATACGACGTATATTGGCATCAGACGCTGTTGTAATTTCTTCAGGTGTACAATGTTTTCCGAGTCTGACAGTGAATTTGTCGTCGACTATTTATTACGTTTGTTATTTTTAAATGTATATTTCTGCGCCAAAAGAACAAAAAAAAAAATAGTTAAGAAGAGAAGATATTGGGTTCATAAGATAAATAAAGAAAGAGAAAATGTAGGTGAATACATAGGGTGCGTTGTTGAACAGTGAACCAACCTTTTTTCTAAGTCATATCATTACAACTTATTAGAAATTAAAGTTAAGAATTTCGTTTTGGTGTCATGGTTTAGGCAATTTTATAAAGTTTCTCATATTCAGGTTACAGGAAGCCAGAGAAACAAATAAAGACCGTAAATAAAGTTTTAAAAAAATAATACCTTTCCGTTTTTGGAACGAGGACCAGACTTTAGCAAAGGACGGAACATTAGCGGAGTGATGATATGCTCTTTTGATTGATGAATTTCATCTTTGCATTCTTCATCTGGTTGCTTTGTCGGTGTCACGTTTTGGTAGTAACTGTGATGTTCTTATGATAATATAGATGGACTATCTCGATCAGGGGTAATAGCGTGATAAAAACTTGAACGACGTGTCTCTAGATGAGTCGAATGGGGTTGCTGATTATTTTTGTCTAGATTTGCAGAAGTTTCAGCATCAGGGGATTTTCGTGAAACTACGGGGTGATCTGTCACGCTACTTGGCATAAAATCGTCATCGGAGAATATGTCCTTATTATAAGGGAAAATCCCACATTTTGCGAAAGCTGCCGTTATATTTAGTGGAGTCATAGATCTCGGATAAGCATGACCAATAAATCTTGCTATTTCGTAGATTGTAACTGGTCTTCCTGGGTTTTGCAGCATCCATGACTCAAGTGCGGAATAATAATATGTCTTTAAAGGGCCTATCAAACCTACATCTATGGGTTGTAATTTGTTAGTAGTGTGAGGATGAAAGGTAAGAACTGCAACACCCGATTTTTTCGCTAAGTCTAGAGCCTCAATGGACAAATGTGACTCATGATTATCCATTATCAGCAGAGATGGATTTTCTGGTGTCGTGCTTGAACACTTAATGAAATGTTTCATTACCTCCACGAATAAGTCACTAGTCATCCAACCTGAAGGACTCGCAAGACCTAAACTACTTGGAGGTGCACCGTGCATCATTAAGTTTTTAAAGTTTTTCCGAGGAAATATTAAAGCAGGGGGCAGGGCATGACCTGTGGCACTAACCATACAGCATGTAGTGACAAGAGTGCCTTTTTCTCCGCTTGTCATCTTACCTACTTTAGCTCTTGTTGGAGCCACAACTCTCTGTGGTTTCTGGACGGTTGTTGTGGCGGTTTCGTCAAGATTAAATATCCGAGTTCCATCCACGAATCTAGGCTCTCGTTTTAGCAATTCCTCCAAATTATTAAAAAATGTTGCCACAGCTTCCCGTTTGAATGCGGTAGCTCGTGCGAAACTTACAGCTTCTGGTTTCTTTAATGAAAAATCAGGAGCTCTTTTTTTAAAGAAACGAAACCATTCCAAACCTGACATTTTATCCCTTTCCCACGAGCTTGGTATTGTAATGCCATTAACCTTTGCCATTTCGTACGCCACCTTCCTACATTCTTTGATGGTCAAACCGTAGAACATTAGTGCACAGTCTTTGTAGTATTTTAATATTATTTGTTCGTGTTCTTCAGTAAACACTATTAATATCATACCTCGGTTTAAGTGATATATTATTACCATGTTCACGTTTTTTTTAACGTAACGGCGCAATGTAGGGTAGGGAATTTTACTGGTTTTTGCCGCCGTCCTAATGGAGCTACTATTTTCCATCATTAGTAATGCTGACATCATATCGTCTTTTTTGTGTTTTCCAATTTTTCTGTCTTTATTTCTTGGCATTTGCATCCTTAAACAATCAAAAAACCTATTATTGATTTTCAGCATAACACTATCATTGAACAGTAAACCAGGATCGTAAGGTACACAGTGAACCGGTTCACTGTGTACTATGCGAACCTGGTTCACTGTTCCATACACACACTATTCAACTTATAATATTAAAAAAAAATAGATTGTAGGCTGAATTGTCACAAAGCAATATGCTCATAAAACGTCTAAAACTACAAAAATATCGACACCATAAAGCTTTTAGTGCTAGAATTAATAACAAAATATATAAAAATCGAGACACTTACGTGAGAATTCTATGTTTTTTTGGCGAGAAACAAATAAACCGCTGTCACACGTCACGCTCAAGCCGCGGCCACCGGCTAACTACGGGAGAGGGGCAGGGTAAGGATGCCTATGAGAAAAGTTTTAACACCATCGGTCGAATTGGCAACCTCGCAGTTTTTTCAACATGGTGGTGGTTCAATGTACCTGGTTGGTTCACTGTTCAACTACGTACCATACATTATTAAAGAAATTGGTATGTGATGAAGACCGATTCTTTATGTACTTCCGTATGTCTAAAGTACAGTTTGAGCAGATTTATAGTATTATTGAATGTGACATAAAAAAAGAACAAACAAGTCTTCGGAAGCCAATTAGTACCAGAAAACGGCTAGCAGTTTGTCTACGGTATGTTTTATCTGTTTTCTATTCCAGAGATAGCTATGCTAGGTACTATAGAAAATAATACAAATAATAATGGTTAAGAATGTTTTTATTACCTACAGATTGATATTTTCGTAATAACAGTGAGTATTTTCGACCTCACCAGTTTCTTCATCATCATTAGTCGCTTCTGACGAAACTTGGGTATGGGGCAGTTCAAGTATATAAGATGGGGAAGAATATGAAATATGGGGTTATACCAAACTCCCAAAAGTAGAATTTACATTATGGCGGTTTAGGCTGCTTCTGTCACTCCTGATAGCAATTGGTGTTCTCAAAACATTTTGTTGTGACTCCAGTTGTTTGATCTCTGCTTCACTTATAGCTTTAAGCAAATCCATTTTAATTCGAATTTGATCCAGTCTTGGGAGTTTTTTCATAGTTTTACTCATGCTTAAAAAGAATGTATCTACTTCATCCAGTTCCTGCTTTTTCTTTCTATTTTCTTGAGAGCTTTTCATCATATCCATCATATCAGCCAAGTAATTATCAGTACTGGGACTTGCCTTTCTTTTGTATGATGTATTCGACGTAGGAGTATTGGTGCGGGATGGTATTCTTTCAGGGGATGGTTGGCTTTCAGCGTATGGACTCTCCGGGGATGGAAGAGGAGAATTTTCATTAGACACACTAGCATCAAGATTTCCTGTAGTAGGACGGCCCTCTAAATATGGCTTCAAAAATGACATTTGTTCTTCAAACCGCAAAGGCGCAATTTTTTTCCAGCTTGGCCACTTTTCTTTTGGCGCCGTTTCATAGCATTATTATAGCAATTACGCAACTTATTCCAATTTTATTTGCACTCATCAACTGCAACAATAATAAAGATTAAATCCTGTATTCCAAATTTTTAAGGACTTGTATTAAATGTTACAGATTCCTGGCTTCGGGTAATTCATTTCGAAGTATCGGATTTAGTTATCGCATGGGATTTTCTACTATACGAACAATAGTGAAGGAGGTTTGTGAAGCGATATGGAAACATCTTGGTCCTATTATGTTGCCGCAACCAACAGAAGTTATGTGGAAACAAGTAGCTACTGATTTCAAACGCTTTTGGAATTTTCCAAATTGCATTGGCGCTCTGGATGGAAAACACAATAAACATGAAGTGTCCAATTAATTGAGGCTCAGATTATTGGAACTACAAAGGTCAAAATTCCATAGTGCTCTTTGGCTTTGGTAGATGCCAATTACAAATTTATGCTAGTAGACGTGGGCTCCTATGGCAACAACAGTGACGGAGGTATTTTTGAAAAATCAACACCAGGCAAACTATTAGAAATTTCTTCAGATGTAATATAAAGGCATACCGGAAGACCAACCTCTTATGCCAGGATCAGAATCATTACCGTATGTTATAAGTTGGTGATGAAGCATTTCCGCTTAAACATTATTTACTTAGACCTTACAGCAAAAATGCTTTGCTTAATAATGAATCCAATAAAATTTTCAATTGTCGACTGTCCCGGGCCCGAAGAATTGTAGAAAACGCATTTGAGATATTAAGAGCAAGATGGCGGGTATTTCAAGGGCCTCTTCAGGTACAACCAGAAATGGTAGACAAAGTAGTTCTAGCAGCATGCTGCCTTCATAACTGTTTGGGCACAACTTTTGAGTTGCAAGATGAAATATCTACAGAACTAGGGAATGCAATCTCGTTCTCTTCGCAGATCTCGTCTATATTTTGCGAGACTGAGTTTCGTTCAATTTTTGTACGAGATCTCGCGAGATTGCGAGATTGAGCGGCGCAACAAAATTCGTAGCGCGGTTGCGCGCGAAGCGCAAACTTTTCTGCGCATGCTGTAGGCAATACTCGCGCGGGACTTGCGGGGGACGAGGTCCGGCTCACTCACTGTCATCACTTTGCCGGCACGCGTGCGTTTGTTTACGTAAATCTAGTTTATGTTAAATTTAAAGGGATTTTTGTGATTAACTGGTTATTTTAGTGTAACATTTAATGTAATTTGGCATTGAACTATGTCGACAAACACAAAAACAGTGTACAGTGAACACGGAAGTTCATTAGAAGTTTGGAAATATTGCTTAAGAGCTAATGATAGACTCAGTGCAAACTGCAAGGTGTGTGGGAAGATTTTGAAAGTCAAAGACCGTTTTCCAAAAGGATTACACAAACACTTGAAGTCTATACATAACATTGATTCGAAAAAAATGTAGAGGATGTTCAGATTGAGAAAAATGTAGAAACTTACCCTAGCATTACTCCGTGGCGCACTGGCTTAGCAATGAGTTGCCGCGCTGGAGTCCGTGGGTTCGAATCCCGCACGGAACAAGTATTTGTATGACCTACAAATAATTGTCCCGGATCTGGATGTTTGTCCTTGTGCAATTTATATTTTGAAAACTGCCTCCATAGTACAGGAGAATATCCTAGTGTGGGGTAACGTAACGGTAACGTTTTAAAAAAATAACTTATCCGACTATAGTGCTACCTACTACATAATTACATAAAAATTATGGACCTATTCAGTACTGACATACCTTGATAGTTTAGTTTTAGCTAAATTGTGAGTACGTGAGTATTTGCTACCTACCTAAACATGTAACAGATATGTTATTAGTACACGTGGCTACATAATTATCAAACTACAATCTCCAGTATAAGCTGATCTCAAATTGTAAACGCATTACGTACAATGATACCTTAAAAACGGCAGGGTCCCAGGCGAGGATGGAATTACAGCGGAGTTTCTGAAAGCGGGTGGAACACCGGTACTTGAAGTCCTTCAGGAGCTCTTCAATTCCGTCCTCCATGGTTGCACTACTCCGGAGGCGTAGAGCAGAAGTGCGGTGGTCTTGTTCTTTAAGAAAGGCGACAACGCTCTCTTGAAGAACTACAGACCGATTTCCCTTCTGAGCCGCGTCTACGTGCTGTTTTCGAGAGTCATTACGAATCGTCTCGCACGCAGACTCGACGACTTCCAGCCTCCCGAACAAGCCGATTTCCGAAAAGGTTTCAGTACCATAGACCACATACATACCCTGCGGTAGATTGTACAGAAGACCGAAGAGTACAATCTGCCACTTTGCCTGGCGTATGTGGACTATGAGAAAGCCTTTGAATCCGTCAAAATTTGGGCGGTGCTAGTACAGCGGTGCCAAGTTGACTGTCGGTATATCGAAGTGCTGAAGTGTTTGTACAGTAGGGCTACGATGGCTATCCGAGTACAGAACCAGATTTCGAAACCTATCCAACTGCAGATCCGAGGTGTAAGACAGGGTGACGTTATATCCCCGAAACTCTTCACCGCTGCGTTGGAAGACGTTTTCTAGCTACTGGACTGGAAAGGATACGGTATTAACATCAATGGCAAGTACATCATTCACCTTCGATTTGCCGACGATATACTCCTTATGGCAGAATCGCTGGAGGACCTAAGCACTATGCTCAATGACCTCAACGGTGTCTCCCAACGGATAGATCTTAAGATGAACATGGACAAAACAATGATCATGTTTAATGTCCATGTCACACCTATGCCGGTAGTTGTTTGGAGCACACATGCTCGAAGTTGTTGACGAGTACCTTAACCTGGGACAAATAGTCCGACTAGGTAAGTCCAACTTCGACCGAGAGGTCAATCGACGGATTCAACGCGGCTGGGCAGCGTTCGGGAAATTACGACACATCTTCTCGTCAGGTATACCACAAAACTTGAAAACTAAGTTGTACAACCAGTGCGTGTTGCCAGTGATGACTTACGGAACCGAGACGTGATACTTCACTGCTGGCCGTATGAGGACGCTCAAGGTCGCTCAGCGAGCTATGAAGAGGGCTATGCTCGGGGTTTCTCTGCGTGATAAACTCAAAAATGAGGATATCCGCAGTAGAATCGGAGTGACCGATATATATAGTATATAGTATATACATAGCCCAACGGATTAGTAAGCTGAAGTGGCAATGGGCCGGCCATATAGCTCAAAGAACGGATAACCGATGGGGAAAAAGGGTTCTCGAGTGGCAGCCTCGTACCGGTAGGCGAAGTGTAGGGTGACCCCCACCAGATAGAGTGACGACCTGGTAAGACATGCAGGAAGTCGATCGATGCAGGTGGCTCGGGACCGTGCTTTGTGGCATTACTTGGTGGAGGCCTATATTCAGCAGTGGACTTGTGCAGGGCTGTAATGATGATGATGATGATTACGTACAATGAGAGGTCAGCTTATACTGGAAAGTCCTCTTATAGTGGCAGGATCCACCCATTGTTGGTTTAGTAGTACAATTCATGTAATGTGACAGCCGTTTACGTATGTAATTATTTTGGTAGTAGGTCTATGCAAGTACCTACATATACATACCTATAAGAAATTTTGTAAACCGATTCTAAACCACTGCATAAATTCTACTGCTACATAAAACTAGTCAAGCGCGAACCATTCATTAAACTTCTGTCTGCTTTGTTGGCTTTTTATATTTGACCTAAAATAAAATTGCAATTATTGAAATTAATAAATATATATTCTATTAAATTATATACCTATTAAATTAATATTTATGGTAAATGATATAAGCATTGCTTTACTTTAAAAATATATTATCGGTTATACTTTTACCAAAATGTCCGACTAAGCTAGATGGTCTGTCCGGCTTTTCGGTTTAAAGACCTGGCAACCCTAGCTTGGTAGCAAGTTCACGCTTTGCATTTTACAATTTTTAGTTATAACAATATGCCGTTAGTATGTACAATGACATTTTAAGTACATATAAGGTGCGGCGGTCAATTTAAGGAACTAGTAAACAAAGATAAATTTTGGTTGTGGGATAGGGATGGGCAAGTGAAAAAAGTTTTGAGTATAGATAGCTGAATATAAATAAAACCCGCATAGTCCGATCTCCTTTTTATTCTATAGTATTTTACACGAAATCACTTTAGCACCAAACATTACTTACAAAATTTACAAAATTGTGCTATTTACCGATCACACCATCTAACAACATAATTAAAACAAACATCTATAATTGTTCTAACGTGACAAATTAACTATCAACAGTGCAATTGCTTAACGTTAATTTAACACAAAAGTACAAGTTTTTTATTTTTTTTATTCCTGAAACATATTCATCTTATTTTAGAATGTATAGACAAGTCCATTTACATCGTGGACCAAACGAGTCTTCAATTTAATCGCGATTATAAGGGTAAGAACTTTTCACATGAGGATATTTACAAGCTACTCAAATTTGTAAGACGTTGCTTGTGAGTTTTCCCCCAAAATTTTAGGGTACTGCATACGTGATGCATATGGCATCAGTCGAACGACTAACCCAATCCCACGCTACACGACTCTTAGTCGAGTCATGGTTATTTTATGGAATGAAATCACAACAAACATTTATTATATTTACTAATTAACTACCGGAATACCTTAAAAAGGATAAGGGAAAAGGAGTGAATTTAGAGTAACCTCAGGTTTTATGTTTTCTATTTTCTCTTACTAAGTACCAGGCTTTTACTCCGTCTAAAAGGGGACCGCCCTACACTTCATTCACCTGCATATACACTAAACACAGAATGTGCATTTATTGGAAATTAGGTAATATTGTTAAATAATGATTTCTTATATTTACGCGAATACTATACATTTTATCGCGGACGGCGGCGGATTTTAACACGGATTTTATCGCGATAAAATCCGTAAAAACTAATATTATTTAAATATTGTTAAA